TCTTCTTTGCTACTACATCATCTAGCAGTTGTTCTGTGTTCAACAGGGCCTGAACCTTCAGGCCTCTTCTGAAAAGAAAAGTTACCTGACGAGTGTCTTTCTGATGACTTAATTTATTTTCACTCCTGGTATAATTGGTTGGGATGTTATTTTTTCTATTTAGCTGGTTAGGTCTCTTAAGAACTGCAACTGGTTTTCTCTGCACTTCATTTCGTCTCAGAAGGTTTGCCTTCCTTTTTAATGCTGGAAAATATCTCTCTATATTCTTGTCACTTAGAGGTGGTCAATTAGTAGGACTAATTCCTTTTCGAATTCGTTGTTTTCCTAGTTGCAAGGCCAGTGATAACTCCATAAGGACGTCTCTTCCCAGGCATCATTTTTCCTCTACGGCTCAGATTATTCTTACCAAAAGTGGAACTCTGTTGGATACCCCATCGTACTCTCATCCTGAATTGTCCGGCACCACTTTGCTGGAGTCCTCTATTTAGTCGTGGAAACTTCTGCTTCTTTCCTTCCTTTTGATTCAATTTGATGATACTGTCCAGAGACATAACAATTTTGTCGAGGTTTTCATTACTGCGGGGTTTCGGCGGCGGCAGCGGGATCGTCGTGGCTCCCACTAGCCGAGTACCAAACCGGTTCATGGCTGGAGGCGTCCTGCGGATTCAGTCAGTCGACAAGGCCAGAGACCTAGGCCTGCCACCTCCCACTTCTGCTCACAGACCAGCTGCACCAAAGGAGCGCGCACGCGTGCCAGCAGAGTCCTCGCCTCCCACCCGCGGCTGCGCGTAGGGGGCCTGTATTAGTTTTGAAGGAAGTGTGGAGAAAGCTGCTATTGCCTGCAGCCCTTCTTCCTCTTATTTCTGATAAAAACTAAGTTTCCTAACACAAGTGTGAAGTAGAGTTGCAGCACCACTGCTCCTGAACTTTAGGGCTATTATGAAGTAAAATAAGGGTGATTTGTTTGTCTAACAACCAAGACAGCTACTGAATGCCTAACAGGAAGGGCATTGACACAGCATGGGTAGGCTGGACAAAGGGATGATTTCATCATGCTACTCAGAACAGCATGCAACCTGCACCCCAGTCCAAGGTTTCAGGTTCCAGGGGCCCAGAAGGAAGCCCTTGTTAGGTGCATCTGTTGAGCAGGGTCACTACAGGGGCACATCACGGGTTCCATGTCATGAAAATGCCACGAGATAAAACTCCCTACAGCTAAAGTACTTGGTGTCAAGACGAATGTTCCTGGGTTGTCCTAACTCCCTCAGTGTCTCCGTGAGCTCAGCCCGGATCAGAGCAACTCTCTCCTGGTCCACAGTCTCTTGGGTCCTGTAACACTCCAGGCAGACGGGGTACAGCTGGAGCTCTAAACTGCGCAGCCAGGCTGTGTGGCACAGCAGCTTCTTTACGGTGGCCACAGAGAGGTGGTTCTCAGAGATGGTGAAGCCCCTGAGCTGGTGACAGTGGCTCAGGACAGGCAAGATGGCCTCGACTTGGGAGTCCACCATTCCACAGTTATCCAGGAGCAGGTCCTGGAGAGTGGGTGTCACTGCCTCCAGCAGAGCTCGGAGGGGTTCGGGACTAAAATTGGTGAGGTTGGCAGCATACAGATGCAGGGACTTCAGCTGCCTCAGGGGCGGGCACTGGAACAGGTGTGTCAGGTCTGAATGTGTCAGCTGCCAGCAAAGCCATATGGAGAGTGGGTCCAAGGGGGTCTGCAGGCACCTAAGCATCTGGTCCAGATGGCCTCGGCGGAAGGAGGGAGATTCCAAGTAGAGCTTCTTGAGGTGCTACAGCCTTAGCATCAGAGAGATGAACTGGGAAAAGTATTACTGTTCTTCCTGCTCCTCCCTTTCCCACTCCTCTTCCTCTTCCTCCTCCTCCTCTTCCTCATCCTCTTCCTGTTCATCCTCCTCCTCAGCTAACACCTTGATGTGGCAGACAGAGAGACTCTGCAGGTTACTCATCTGACCCAGGTAGAGAGCAAATGTCCCCAGGGTGGGCAGGTCCCAGGTGTAGTCCACTTCCACCTCCTGGAGCAGTCCAGCTGCACCGCATCCAGGACCATCCTGGCCCTCTCAAAGGGCACATCAAAAAACCTCAGTGACTTGCAGCACAGGTGTGCCAACCCTTTTCTCTGCCGGGCCCATTGGATGATGTACATGAAAAACTTATCCCTGTCCCTTTCATTGAAGTTAAGGTCTAGGAACATCTCCAAGGGAGCCAAGGGGTGCTCCATGTTGGGGCTGGAGCTGTGCACAGCCACTGGTCCTGTCTGAGAGCACTTCTGGGTGCTGTCTCCACACCACAATCTCCAGAGGTTGACATTCATGTTCCTTAAATCCAGCACCCGAAGTTTCCACCTCCTGGGGCGAATCTCTTGGGCAAGCAGAATGTCAAGCCCCTAAAACACTGCTTGTAAGTCCATGAATGGAGGCAGCCTCATCAGGCTCCCCAGAGGGAGGACAGTGAAGGGCCAGGCGTGCACCAAAACCTTCAGGGGCTTCCGCATTCTCCTATGGTAGGCCTGTAAGAGCTTAGATCATTTTAAAACTGTAATAGCAATGTGGTTGAAAATCACATGCTTGGGCTCATTTATGTTCATATATTCTATTTGTATAACAGTACCTTCCATTGTCTTCTCATGTTCTCAAGAGCAGGATTTTTATTCTTTTTAAAACTGCCTAATATGTAAACAATAACTTAACATATCTACATAAAATATAAAATGAGTGCTGACAGATAGGAGGTGTGGATCTCTGTCCACGTGGTCAGATTTTCAAGATCAGATTCCACCTGGGTAGTAGTTTTCAGTGGAGGAGCCAATGGACTTGGGGCTCATTTGGAAATCCTGGCGATAGGCAGCACTCTGAGAGGCAGGGTTGCTTCAATCCAAGTGTTGGGGGAATTTACCATCTTTTCCCAGAGAGCAACTTCCTCTGAAGTAGAGCCCATCCAGTCCACTTCAGTTTCAGAACTTTTACCTGAAAAGAAGCTTTGAGTTAAAAAAGGAATAGCGCATCGGGGAGTGGGAGGGAACTTGTTATTCTTTTTTAAAAGATATTTTCTATTAATTTCACAGAGGAAGGGTGACGTAGACAGAGATAGAAACATCAATGATAAGAGAAAATCATTGATTGGCTTCCTCCTACCCACCCCCCACTGGGAATAGGGCCAGCAACCTGGCCATGTGCCCTGCAGGGGAATTGAACCAAGACCTCCTTGTTCATGGATTGATGCTCAAACACTGAGCCACACCAGCCGGGCAGTCATTCTTTAATTATAAGCACCAATGGAAGTCAGCTAGGAAGAGTTTTAACGTCACCAGGAGGGCAGATCTGGGACTCACTATAAGAAAGAACTGTTGAACCATCCGAGATGAGTACTCTATTCCCAGAGTAATGGTTTCTCTTCTCAGTCATTGAAAAGCTAGATGACAATCTGTCACAGGCATGGGGGAGTGATAGGAAGGATTCCCACCGTGGGTTAGAAGTGACAGTAGATAAGCTCTGAGGAAGCGTGACTACAGCTTTAGCGTTGAGCAGACTCAATTTGAATCTCGGCGCCACCACTTACTCTGTTACTTAATTTCTTAGAATGCCAGCTGTTCTGGAGATAGCATTAGTAACTACTCATCAAATTGCTGTTAGGATGAAGTGAAATAATGCAAATAAAGCACTCAGTACAGTGACCAGTGCTCCATAAATGTTGTTTGCTATTATTATTCAAAGCACACTATATCTAGAAAAGGCCATAATGTTTTTTCAGGAAAGAGTAGTGACCAGAGCTCCTCTGTTCCCCCACAATAAGGTAAGCTCTGCGTGGTGACACACTGCACCCTGTTAATCTTCATATCCAGAGCCCGCAGCACGCAGCTAGCATGCCTCCATTCACTCATTGTATTACACTTAACGGAAATATCTATGTGCATTAGGAAGGAGCACAGCAACAAACCTCTAGCGTCTCCAGAAGCATTTGGCTCACAGGTGATAAAAAAAAAAATGTAACAAATATTACTGGTTCCAAAGCTGATGCGAAGACCTCCCAAAGACTTGTTGGTTAATTTGTAATGGTCTCAGACGGTAAGCTCTATGCAGGCTTCCATCAGATCTTCAGGCCTGAACCCATCGTACACCATGGTGTGGATGAAGACAGGGTTGATGGTCTTCCCCACAGCTCTTGTCCTCTGGTGACTTTTCCAACTTGTATCTGGCAGATGATACTACCAAAGGAAACATGATTGTGAGAGCATTTTAAAGAAATAGTGGACACTTGTGCTTTCCATACACTTCAACGTAGCTACTGGTGGAAGGAAGGGAAGGGGAGAGTGTAGAGAAACAGTACTGATGGTGGGAGCCCTCATGCGGGAAAGCCTGAGCATTTGAGCGGACCAGACTTGCCTTGAACCCTGACTCTGCCACGTGTTGGCTGTGTATTGCAGGGAAAGTTAGTTAACCCTTCAGATACTTGCTTCCTCATCTGTAAGACGACTTGCTTCCTCATCTGGAAGATGGGAGTGGTAACGCCCACTTCACAAGGTTAATATTAAAATTACATATTAAGCCAACAGCTTAGCTCAGTTTCTGCATTTAGTAAGTGCTTACTCTGTAGCAATTGTTTGAGGATTCCTTTAAAATTTGGAAGCACAGTCTATTCCTGATCATCTGGGATAGCCTAAGGAATTAGTCTTGTACAGAAATGGAAAAGAAGAGAAACCTCCCCAATTTGTTAGATTTGATTTGGGAAATAAATTATATATTTTCAACCATTTACATTTAATTTGTGGTAACAGCTGAATTAACTTTAACCTATCATGCCCCCGGTAAAGGCAAGAAGGTCTGAGACTAGTCTCAAAATAGGAGACTGACCTGAGTTGAAAAATGTTACCAGCTGACATCTATGAAGAATGTGTTGCCTTTTTGTTTTGTGGATGGTTTCTTTTGCTGTATCGAAGCTTTTTGGTTTGATGTAGTCCCACTCATTTATTTTTGCTTTTACTTCCCTTGCCTTTTGGGTCAAGTTCACAAAATCCCCTCTGAGACCAAGGTCCATGAATTTAGTACCAATATTTTCTTTGATGTATTTTGTTATTTCAGTCTCATATTCAGGTCTTTAATCCATTTTGAGTTCATTTTTGTGTAAGGTGTCATACCCCCATGCTCATTGAAGCATTGTTCACAATAACCAAGACATGGAAACAACCTGTGTCCTTTGATGGATGATTGGGTAAAGAAGATGTGGTACATTTATACAATGAAATACAACTCAGCCATAAAAACAAACAAACAAACAAAAAGATGAAACATTGTCAATTGCGACAACATGGATGGACCTTAAGTGTATCATACTAAGTAAAATAAATCAGGTGGGCCTGGATGGCATGGCTCAGTGATTGAGCACTGACCTATGAACCAAGAGGTCTTGGTTTGATTCCCAGTCAGGGCATATGCCCAAATTGTGGGCTTGATTCCCAGTGTGGGGCATGTAGGAGGCAGGCAATCAATGATTCTTTCTTATTGATATTTCTATCCCTCTCTCCCCCCATTCATATCTGAAATCAATAAAAATATTAAAATAAGTCAGGTGGGAAAGAACAAGAACCATACAATTTCACCCATATGTGGGATATAAAACAGAAAGCAACATACAAACCAGCAAAACAAAATCATAATCACAGACAATAGTATGGTTGTTATCAGAAGGGAAGGTGGGTGGCAAGCTGGGGGAGGATGAAGAGGGGAAAGGGGGTCAAATATATGGTGATAAAAGGAGAATAGACTTTGGGGGGGAGATCACAGTGCATTATACAGAAGATGTATTATAGAACTGTATGCCTGAACCTTAGATAATGTTATTAACTAATGCTACCCCAATAAATTTAATTTAAAAAAGAACTTCTAGAGGGAAAATCACAAATAATGTCATATAAAATTGAATAGCTACAACTGGACTTCTGGTAGACTCTATAGAGATAAAATTAGTCAGAGGGAGTTAGGATGACACATCAATATCTGTTTAGCTACTATTTAGATACCAGGCATTTATATGTGTAACAGAGAAAAAGGTTTGCCACTTAAGAATCAAAATTTTTTTAAATTCTTATGAGCTATTAGTACAGCTCTGCTTAGCAAATACTTTTCCAGAAATTTGCAGGCTGATGCCAAAGGCCTCTCGGAAATGGGTCATAGAATAGGTGCTCTTCTAGGAGGCCAAGGGCTGTGACATCCCACTGTTAGAAATCGCATAAAGTCTTTAGTACTGAATATTGTTCTCACCAGTAGATGTGCCTCCTAGAAGACATTACATATCTGAATATGTGGTCTCTGTTTTCATTTTTACATATGTCCTTTTATCTTTATGATTTTAAAAGTATATGAAGTCTTGGGGGCGGGAGTTCATATCACAGGTTCCCCTAATTCATGGAGTCACTGTCTCAAATTATTTCATTTAAACTATGGATGATGAGTTTCAGCATCACAGAAATAGAGAACTAACATCAACCAGCAAAGGCCGGGCTACTGTAGAACTGCAAAGGCAGACTTATCAATGCTATTACCATTTTACAAAAGAATTTAGATGGCTGCCCCTTAGCATTGGTAGATCAAGGCATTCCTTCACCCATATGTGTACTTCTCCAGTTGTAGGAAGCTTTTTACCTATAATAGAAAAAAGAGAGAAAATAAGATGTTAGTGCTCTTCCTCTCTTGGCAATACTGCATCTAAAGATGCCAATCTAAAAATGCACTGGCACACATCTTAGCTATCTCTAATAATAAAAGCGTAATATGCTAATTAGACCAAAGGGACGAATGACCTTCCGGACGTCATTCTGGACGTCCTTCTGGATGAAGCCGTGGCTGAGGCGGCAGGGGCCAAGGCAGAGATGGTTAGGGCTGACTAGGCAGGCAGGCGAGTGGTTAGGGGTGACCAGGCAGGCAGGCAAGAGGTTAGGGGTGACCAGGCAGGCAGACGAGTGGCTAGGGGCAATCAGGCAGGCAAGGCATGCAGAGTGGTTAGGGGCAATCAGGCAGGACTCAGTCATTTCTCCTGGTCCCTTGGAATCCCAGACCTTTCTTGCCTCCATGCCACTGAACCTGAAAATCTCTCAACCCCTTCTTTCTACCCTACTCCCTTCTGAATATAGCAAACTCCTCCTGGGCGGAGGTTCTACCTCATCTGTCACTTTCCAACTTTCCCAGTCCGTTGCTCTCTGCAATCTAATGATAAGCTGTACATGTTTCCATTACAACATTTACCACACACTATTCTTTTATCATTGTTTTCCTTATTATGGGCATTCTCTTGTTCTTTTTTTTAAAAAAAATTGCCAGAATCCAATTGTAAACTCAATGACTCAATGAAAACCCAATAAAATAGTAGGGCAAATTATCATCAACCCCCATTTTCTCTATATGGAAAGTGAAGCATCTATAAATGAAATGACTTGGTGACATGTAGTTGGAGAATGACAAAGCTTGTACTGTGAGAACTCTCAAGAGCCAAGAGGAAGTAAAGAGGAATAAAGAAAAGGCAGAAGAAACAGGGAAAAGAAGAGAGAGGGAATGAATGGATGCAAACAGACACTCAATATCTAACCAATTACTACCTCAGGTGCGCATTTGCAGACCAGATGCCTGTAGTTTTGACTATTCACAAGTTACCATGAATATGTGTCACATGGAAATTGTAGTTAAATAGGGCACAAGATATGTATGAGGTGGTGAGTCCCTGGCTTTTGAGTCTTTGGTCCACCACCCAGCATATGGCATCTCAATCTTTTATTGCAGGTTTTTAATAAATACTAGTGTCCCAGTGCACGGATTCATGCACATTGAAAGGAAATTAATTAAACGAAATGTTTTAATTTTCTATTCATCCTTTATAATAGAAGTGTCAACTAAATTCACGATTGACAATGACAGATCGAAACACATGCTTGCGATTGGCACCAGCGAGAGTGATAGATGATGATAGATGATAGATAGATAGATAGATAGATAGATAGATAGATAGATAGATAGATATAGATAGATAGGTATAGATAAACTTGATTAATGAGACCTACTTTCTGATGTAGCTAATCTTTTTCCAGCCCAGTGAAGCACCCCAACTTCTCTTTCAGGTAATTGTCAGAAAAACATCAGTAAATATCAACATGAAGCAGATTATTAGTGTAGATCACACAGGGTGAACAAAGGGTAAATTATTTAGCTGTAGTAGTGTTTGACTATATTCTGCACAAAGAGAAAACCTGAAGTCATTTTCAAGATCCACCATTTCTTCTTTTCAGCCGGGTCAAGTGTCTAAACTTTCTAAATCTCCGTTTTCTGGCTAATGAAAAGAAAATAGGATTCTACTAAGTCTCCTATCTACGTACTCCAAGACTTCTGTGAGGATCAAATAAGATGAGGCATGGGAAAATGCATTACAAACATTTGTTTAAACTGTAAAATGTTTGCACCTGGCTATAAAGCAAGTTGGGTTCCTGGGCTGGAGAAACTGCAAGGAGGCTAGTCGCTAGGGAGAGGAAGCCAGGTGTTGCTACGTGGCATCATTACCTGGCATGCACAGCGACTGTTTCTGGGCTGGGCTGGGCTGTGGGTCACATTTTGCATTCATTTTTTCATTTTAAAAAATATTTACTCACTCACTGGTGCAGAGAAAAAGACTCGAAAGGCTATATCATGAGTCCAGGTGTACTGATTATTAGTATATTATGAATGCTAATGAAAGGACAGAACAGGACTGATAGCTGTGTTCCTAACTCCTCTCCCAGCAAAAGCCATAGAATGTATCAGTTACTCAGCCTGCCCTTATCTCAGCCAATGAGAATGCAAGGGAAAACAAACTCAAGGCCAAAAGTATGCTGAACACCCCCTTGTCTTTGTGTAACCAGACCCTAACAGCACCCTGCCCTTGCATCACTAGCCCCCGGCCCTCACTCAACCAACCGGAATTGGCCAAATCAGTGGTCCGAGTGTCCCCAAGCCCTATAAATTCTTTGTTCTCTTGGGACTTTGGGCTCTCTCTCGCATCAAGTAATGGAGGCAGAG